ACGGCCAAAACATTGATGCGGAAGTGCACAGAAAAGATGGCCGTGAGCGTGTTGAGATTGATGCTGTACGGCCAAATTGGCGTCTGCTGCCCGTTGTATCTTGCCAGGAGGATGAAGAGACCGACGAGGAGACAGGCTCCGAGGGCGAGACATAGGATCTCCCAGGCCCAGAATCTCAACACTCGATGTCGAGTGGCCTCGGTGCCCTCCTTTGAGTTGTTGGACGCCATATTTGTGCAGATATCGATGATGCGAGACTGTCTGATCAAGTCTCGGGTTGCATACCTTGTGTTTTAAACCCCTTGCCGTTTTGTGCGTCAGGCAGTTCAGTTGGGCACAATGGTCTTGATCCACAGTATTGCAAACAAGTGGTTGGTGTCAAGCCGACCGCAAGTCCCACGACTCGTGGCGCCCGTCTTTGCACCGCCGTGTTCGATAGCTCAACCAATCTTCTCGTCACATCTTCGGTTTTCGGCGAGCTATTTGAGACAGTAGGTCGACTTGGTTGGGACTCCAATTATCTTGCATGGCGATTGGAAGTCATTGGCAACTGGACTCTGCCAGCCGCCCAAAAGGGTAATAAAACGAGGCAGATGGATTTCTTCATCGGTCGTTGGATATGCTTGGTCTTCACCAGATCGTAATGAGAATGCCTCACGGATCCCATCTGCCCACGCAACCACTAACCTCTCAACACCCCCCCTTCCCAATTCAACTTCACCAATCCACGCCCCTCCTTCCTCCTAACCTTCACCTCTACCTCATCCCCACACCGATCAAAGCCCCCTGCACTAACACCTCCCGCCACCACCGGTCCTTCCCATCCACTTCCCCCAAGAGGCTCTACCTCCATCGCCACAACCATCCCCACCACCACGCCCATGATGACCCCAAACGAATGATACCTCCCCGGACACAAATTCCCTGCCACCCCAAATCCCTTCACCTTGCGCGTCAGCGCATAGGTCAACTTCCCCGTCCCCGGATCAATGAACCGCTCGGGGAACCACTCGCGGGGATGATCCCAGATTTTAGGATCTCTATTGGATTCAGCCATGGGGAGGAAGAGGATGTCTCCTTTTTGCACTTCTCCGTCTACAGAAGACAGGGGAAAACTGGCGGTGGCTTCTCGCGCAACGCCTGTCATGTGGAGACGAAGTGTTTCGTACCAGGCGGCCATGAGGTTTGGACAGGCGTTGCGGATTTGGGAGAGATCGATCGTGGGTAATGCATCTTTGGTTGATGGGGAGGAGGTTAACTTGGTGATTTCGGATTGGACCTTGGAAAGAATGTCGGGGCGGGCAAAGAGGTGGCGGAGAAGCCAGATGGTGATGTTGCCGACGGTGGGGAGGATGGCGAGGGAGGTGACGAGTTCGATGATGGAGTAATCGGGGTTGGCGTACCACGCTTGTCGTTGTTTATCAGGGGAGAGGGACGTAATGATGTTGAGACGGTGGGCGATGTTGTCGGGGAGCACCGTGGGGTGGGCGATGTGAAAGGTGCGGAGCTTGGAGAGGAGGGACCGCCGGAGGTTGTTTGCTCTTGGCGCTGTAAGAGGGGCGAGTGGGAGGTAGAGGGATTCGAACACTTGTTGGAATTCACTGCAAGTGCCTCTGTTAGCCTCGTGGTAGCCCTGGGTGGAAAGCGGGAAGGAAACGGACTAGAAGTCGTCCATGAGGCGGGTAGATTTGAGCCAGGGGTTGTCGACGCCCCAGAGGGAGTGTGCCGTGGCGCCAGCGGACATGTGAAAGACCCAGGCGTTGAAGTTAGTCAGAGGCCCAAGGGAGCCGTCTTCGAGTAACTGCTCGATTTGGCGCAGTGCAGAATCCAGGGCGGCTTTGGCGCGGTCGGCGTCTAGGAGCTCGGCAGCCCAGGTCGGTCTGGTGTCCGTTTGACGCAAAAGGGCGACGCCATCATCGGAAAGGCCAAATATGGGCCTGCACAGCGTGAAGGAAGCAAAGCTTGCGAGACTCAAGTCTCTGGAGTGGCGCGCCAAGTCGTAGTCAAGCTCGGGCTTGACGAGCAAGACCCTTCGGCCCAAGATGCGCGTCCAGAGGATGGGTAAATTGCTTGAGTGTCTGATCAATCAGCTCGGAGATACAACAATCGAATATGGCTATCATGGACACAAAAGAAATGCCCTCTGCCTTACAGCAACCCATGGACATATTGGACCGAGTCGAGACGGGCCCTCAGAACTCCGCCGAGAAGAGTGGTCGCGCCGAGTTCAAACATCCCAGTGCCGGGGACATTGTCGCTGCTTTTTGTGCAGCAGAGCCGCCTGACCGCCGACCAAAACGCAACTAGCACAACCAATGCCGTTCCAACTACGAGTAGAGTTGTCGCCATGGTGATGAAATGAAGAAGGAAAGAACCCAGGCATTTGCGACAGCCGTGACCAGCGGAAGGAGGGACGTGGTCCCTTTGAGGGCGTCTGGCAGGTGGGGTTACATCGGGCTCCTTCCTTACCACCACACCGCGGATCCACAGCATCCTGGCAAGTTCCCGAGTAGATGCAAAGTGTGCAGGGCGCAAAGGCGGGTACCGTGCGGCACAGATCTGCTGGATGGAACCCAATGAACACAGAGCACCCCAAATCCAAGGATTAAATGAGGTTCGGGATTTGCCTGAAGCGATGGTGGGTAACTAGAACGCTGACACGATAAAAAGATTATGGTGCTCTTGTCATGTTCAACATGGGATGAGGCTGGGTGGCTAGGCAGATACCTTACCTACCTAATTTCCGCCTCAGGCGTTTCATAAGCTGGGACATTGAGCTAACAGAGTCAATAAATACCCATTCGTTATCTCCCTGAATGGCCTCGCCCTGCATCGAAACACCCTTCCAGATACTCAGCACCAACCGTCCGAGCCCCAGGCCTTCCTGAGCACAAATAGACGATCGACTTCAAGCGTGTCCCTCTCCCCGTGAGAGACATTTGTTTCATTCCCTCTCCCCTTCCATTGTTTTCTTTCAACTCCCTCCATTTTACCCCTTCCATTCCTGAATTGGTCGCTTGACAACGCCAAAATCGAGTCAAAATGCTATCCGACTCGTTACTGCGCAAACTGGTCGGCCATGTCGACTTTGCCGTGTTTGAGCAGATCTTGGAGATGGATGATGACGAGGCGGAGCGGGAGTACAGCAAGGCTATTGTTGACGGCTACTTGACACAATTCTCCGAGAGCAAGGAAGTCATCAAGGCCGCATTGTAAGTTTAGTTTCATCATTTCCCCCAGGTCGAATTGATCAGGCGCTGACCGCGCTCTCTCAAATCAACAAACTCGCTGACGTGAGTCATTTCCTTCGCGAGTCCTCGAATACGCTGGGGTTGGAGAAGATTGTGGAGCACTGCGCGGAAATTAAGGATCATGCTTCAAAGGCAAGTTCCGGACAAAAGAGCTTCAATTCGAGCCAGGTCAGAAATGTGGCTGTGAACATGGGACGTGAGTTTGAAGAGGTGAAGGCACATTTTCAGAGTTCTATAAGCGCGAGGATTGATAGATACTTCATTTGCAGAGTACGCAATGGTCGTAGTGGTTGTGACACCTAGCTGTGGGTCGTCAATTCGAAGACGGTATTTTGACGTCGGGTCCCCGGGACCGAAGGATGCATTTTATCCCTCGGGCGCTGCAAGCTTGCCGCTGCTTGGCGCACTAATTGCCTAGCTGGGCCGTCCTGCGGAGGTCAGAAGACAAGGCCTCAAACTATTGGCTTGGAGACTGCCCGATGTGCCCGAAATCGTGTTAGAGGCAGGCACCATGCACTTTCCGCTGCCGCTCCGGGAGTGGAGTGCATCAGACCACTGCCAACTCACCGCTGTTCCGCAAGACGATATGGACCTCCGAATACATGGGCCGACATCAAAACTCAGCTCATCCCACTTCAACGTCTGCTGAGTTTGTTACCGGCTGCATTTTTTCTCTGGTTTCGTCATTTCAAGATGCCCGACTTCGGAGACCACGTCGACATGCACAAGTTCCAAGCTGTCCTAGACATGGACGGCGAGGGCGAGGACCGCGAGTTCAGCAGAACCGTCGTCGAGGAGTATTTCCGGCAGTTTGAAGTCGCCATCGACGAAATAGATGCTGCGATGTAAGCCGCGCGGGCGCTACCATCCTCACCGCACTGACCGCAGAGCTGACTGGTTGGGCAAAAGTGGCTCACAGGACCTGCACTCTCTTGCATCACTTGGGAGCACACTCGGCGGATCATCCAGGTCGCTTGGCTTCACAAAGATAGCCGATGGGTGCAGTTTGGTAGAGGAGAATGGGATTGTAAGCGGACGCAAAGTGAACGCGGACGGCGGGGATACAGGCGTCCGTCTGGGAAAAATCCAACAGGCTGTGTTGCAGATGAAGCCGGACTTTGAAGAGGCGAAGAGGCTTGTGTTGGACTTTTACAAGAATGGGTAGGCTGAGACGACTGCATTTGTGTTGGAAACTAGAGTGATACTTGGGGTCATTAATATAACCTTGGGTGCGGGAGAAGGAATAATTTTACCAGCCGCTTTTCAAGCTTAACTTCAAGAGCTGCCAGTTACCGCTTGGAATTGGAAGCTGCGCTGATGACCAGAAAGGTACTTCTTGTCTCCTTTATGCCTAACCTCAAGCGGATCCCTCCTCTGCTACACGCAGTACTATACAAAGCATGGAAAGCCGTGAGCAGTGCTGTTGCTGTGTCTGGTACCGTGTACATGCAAAAGGGGCTCCTTTCCAATCAGACCACTCGCCCAGCTGTCAACGATGCCTCGACCGGGTTACAGGCGGCTCCTCTAGGTACTCCCCAAGTCTCTCCCTTAGCCCACGATTGTTTTCCCCTTTATAAGCCAAACGCAGTCTCATTTCATTCTTGGCAAGCCAAGAAGGAACTGTCATACCAGGTCTTCAATGGCATGTTTCCTTCAAACGCCCCTTACCCAGCACGCTCTTCCGCCGAGCTACTCAAGCTGGCGAACGCGACATACCCGAAGTTGGCAACCCACCACCGCCTGATAAATGGCCTTGTGGTCTAGTGGTATGATTCGTGCTTTGGGAGTCAAACCCCTCTACTGAGAGAGTAATGTGCGAGATCTCGGGTTCAATCCCCGACAAGGCCCTTTTTTGCATTTATAACTCAGCCTTGGTTGAGTTTGGTGGGGACGTCACCCACCGTTTGCTTCTGGTCCCACAGCTTCCGTCGCTCCGAAAGACGTTCTTTCCACAGACGTACGACCCAGAAACGTGACCCAAAAAAGCGCCAGCGATTGGCAGAAGGCATCACTTGATCATGCAACACAGGGGGCACGAATCGAATGATCCATCACGCGCATTGGCCGACTTCTTCCCTCTTGCAACCCCCCTCGCCATTTCACCGAAGACGACGAACGCTCTTGACGGCAGGCCACCATACCGACAACCAATCGCAAGATGTTGCGCGGCCTTCGAGACAAGGTCACCAACAAGGTGAACGGGGCCATCGCCGCGACGGGCGAGTATTTCGACACAGGTGGCACCTGGGATGCCGCCATGTTTTCGTTCCGTGAGGGGGGAGAGGACTTTCTCGCCCTTGGAGGCATGATCAAGGATTGATTCAGCAGAAACCACTCCCAGTTCTCGAAGGAGCTAAGTCGCGATGCCGAACGTCGAATTAAACTGCAAGCGTTCCTAACCTCGCCAGGGGAAGACGATGGCAAAGCGGGGACGGCACCATTCGAGCACGATCCGCTTCCCGATGGGCATTCCCTCACTCGAATCCTGCTTCTGCGGGGAGGCAAAGACCTGGAGCCCATCGACTGCCGGATGGAACTTGTGGACTTGGATGATCCAGACCTCGAATACGAGGCCCTCTCGTACTGCTGGGGGTCGCTGGCCGCTGGCTTGTCGTCCATCTACTGCAACGGAAAACGCCTCGATGTCACCAAAAACCTCAAGATGGCCCTGAACAACCTTCGTCTGGTGGAGGGCGAGCGAGCCCTCTGGGTCGACGCCGTCTGCATCAATCAAGAGGACAAGGAGGAGTGTGCGCGCCAAGTGCTGAAAATGGGTGACATATATAGACGGGCGACCAACGTCACCGTCTGGCTTGGCGATGGTTCGGCGGCCTGCAGGGCGTCTTTTAGCGTTCTATGGGCCCTGTCCGCCTGTACGAAAACGCCGAGGGCATGGCGATGAAGTATGAAGAAATGAAGAGCAAAGCAGCCGTTTTATCCATCAAGGGCTATCCAGACCGGTCATCATTTGAGAGTGCCTTTGGTCTGGTGCACGAGATGGCAGAGATGGAGTGGTTTACTCGGATGTGGGTTCTGCAGGAGGTCGCTCTGGCTCGGTCGGTGACACTCGTTTGTGGCCAGGAGGCGCTCCCGTGGGACTCGTTCGAGAAGGGGGTACTGGTGAGAGCTCTAGTGGCCACCCTCGACCGCCGAGCGACCCCAATCTTATCGCGCGCGCTTGATCTTGGGCTTCTCAAGATTGTCGAATTACGCATGGCACTCATGACAGGCCAGCAGGACCGGAGCATCTTGACCTTGTTGAACCAGTTCCGGGAACACAAGGCGACAGTCGCCGCTGACAAGGTCTACGCGATTGCGAGTTTGACCAACCCCAACTTGAACAACATCGGCGTCCAGATCAACTACAAGATGCCAACCGCTAAACTCTACACCGACCTCGCGATAGGCATCCTCCAGAGCAGTTCCGCCGGCGGCCTCGACTTGCTCTCCGCCCCTCTTGCAAACTCCAACCTGGCCGGTGAAACGCCAACATGGGTGCCTGACTGGAGTGATGAGGCCGGAGGCGCTAGGCCGCTGGTTGCCTCCGTCTCTCGTTACGCGGACGGCAAGTTCTGCGCATCCGGGAAGTCCGCGCTATGTGCATCTCCGAGCCAATGCACGGATGGCAGGCTTGCCTTGCAAGGCTACGTAGTTGACCGTATTGACCAACACTCCACGGAGGCTTTCACAAACGCTGACGCTGTAGTGGAGCCTCCATCCGTGGCCAGAGGCGACGAGTCAAGTTATGGAGTCTTGTTGAAATCCTTGGAACCAAAGGAGCAAAAGAACGACACGGAAGTCTCATGGCCGGAGTTCATGGTAACCACCAATTACACGCCAACTTCTGAGCTCCTCGGCACCGCCTACATCCGCACCCTCTGCGCTGACTCGTTCCCACCCTTTATCGACCTCGAAGTCAAGGCCTACAAGCTTCTCATCCACGGTCTGTATTTATGGATCAAAGACTTTCACAGCGTCGCTCCGCACGGCATTTGGAACGTTCTTCACCGTTTCAGCCTCCAGGAAGTCGACGGAGAGAAAGACAAGAACAGCCCGGGAAAGGGAAATGCAAGGAAAGGCTTGCCGCCCCTGGAGTTCCCGCGCTCGAGACCTCGCAACCTCGACTTTGGCGGCATGTTGGACATGATGATTGGGCGGAAGCTGATGTGGAGCCGCGATGGGTATTTTAGGTCTGTGCCGGCCGACGCAAAGGAGGGGGATGCGATTCTGTTGGTGAAGGGATGTCGGGTGCCGTTGGTGTTGAGGCCAAAGGGTGGACCAGAGAAGGCGGACGAGAAACGGAATGGCAACTGGTAGGGGACTGCTTCATGCACGGGGCCATGTACGGGGAGAGGTGGCGCGAGCAGTTGTGCGAGGAGATTATTTTGGTTTAGTCCGAGGTTCTCGATGTCATTGTCATGTTACACGAGGTATGACGGCGGATTTAGGCAGCTTTACCCGATCCCACCCTGAGGGATTAATCCGGGTTTATTGTCCATCTGACATGGGAATCTGCAGATCCGATCAAAGCTTCACCACATCAAACCAAAAAAAAAGAAAGAGAAAAAGAAAAAAACCTCACTAGGATCTACGATATGAGCCAGCCAACGGAAAAGCTGCCATCCGTTGCAGACAATGCCATTCAGAGACTTCTACAGACTTTGGGACTCCCTGAAGCCACCTCAATCACCTCGGCGAAAGCAACAGCCGAGTACCACAGCATCTACTTCATCACCCTGCCCGAATCCAGAGCATCCCTCGGTCATTCCGAGCTAGTTCTCCGCGTATCTGGTTGTCATATCCCCATAATCAAGACGAGAAACGAAATAGGCGTCATGGCCTGGCTGTCCAGGAACACCACGATCCCAATCCCTGACGTCGTAGCCTACGACGAATCCGAAAACAACCCCACCAACCACGAATACACCCTCCTCTCCAAAGTCAACGGCGTCACCCTGAGCAACATCTACGACACCCTCGACGACAACCAAGCAACCCAAATCCTAGACCAACTCATCGACATCCTCACCCAACTCCACTCCCACCCCTTCACCGGAATCGGCGGTCTCGCCCTCGACCCAACCGGCACCCCCGTCCTCTCCCAAGTCCTCGATGAAAACTTCTGGCAACTCCCCGACATAGGGAAGTACTGGCCCGGCGAAACCATCACCACTCTCAACATCCAAGGTCCCTACAACAGCTACATCGGGTACACCTCCGCTCAAGTAGCCCTCTACATCCGCCTGATCACACTCCATCCCACTTTAGAATTCATGCGCGATCTAATCCCCCGCCTCGAAGCCTTCATCTCCATCCTCCCCTCATGCTCAGCCAAACTAAACGACGTCGCTCTTCGCCTTGCCCACAAGGACCTACACTTTGCAAACATCCTCTTTGACACATCAACCAACAAAATCACCGCGGTTCTAGACTGGGAGTTCTCAGGTGTGGTGCCCTTTACGAAATGGAACCCCTCGAGGTCGTTTTTATGGAATGGGAAGTACGATGAGGCCTCGAGGGAGGAGAAGAAGAAGTGGATGGGGATGTTTGAGAAGAGATGCGTGGAGAGGGGGTGCGAGATGTTGTTGAGGGATGCGCAGTATAAGTCGGAGCTACAGGATGATATGCAAATGGTGGTGGATTATTTGAGGGCGATTGTGGAGGTTTCGCCGAGAGCGCAGAGGAAGGAGCTTGTTGGGGGGTGGAGGGAGGTCGTGGAGAAGGCATTGGCGAAGTTTGGGGTATAGAATACCATGAGAGTTCAGTCGGAAGTAGGTGGTTGGGCCTCGTTGATGGGAAAAAGGATTGTAGTTGTAATTTCTCGTTGCAGCCAGTTTCTGTGTGTTTGCTGGTTGTGGTTCTGGGGATGTCAAGTGAAGAAAAATCGCTTTATTATTTCATTCAGATGCTTGATAGCTCATGGCCTACAAACCCCCATCCCACAGAACCACACCCAACTGCCAGAGGAATAATCATCCACGACGTGGAATACAGATGCCGAAACAGTCATAGTCACCGTTCCTCAGATCGCAGTCACCCACGGGGCTGTCGATGCAAACGAATCCGTCACCGCAGCTGATGCCCGAGATGCCGGCGCAGAATAGCGGCATCACACACATCTCCGCGCAGACCACAGGCAAGGTGATGCACACTTGACCCTTTGGACAAGGCGTTGTGCAAGCGTCGCAATAGAAGTCGAACGGCAGAGAGGGATGCCATCGTGAACTACAGGGCAAGTGCGGCGACTGTTGAGAACTTCATTGCGGATCGAGGGGTATGTTTGTGTGACGTGGGCGGGTGAGTTGCGGAAGGGGACGGGTCGTGGGGTCAGAGTTTGCTCTCTGAATTCGATTGGAACGGTCTTTATCCTTCGTCAGTCGGTATGAGACGCGGACGAATCCTCGCCTGAGAAGGGGTTCTTGTGCTCGCAAATGACTGGTTGCTGCTGTTTGGTGGTACTCTTCGAACGCCTTCGGACCAATAGTTTCAGGCCTTGTTCAACCCACCATTATTGGCAGTGCATGCCGGAGGAGATGGGTAGCATTTCTAGACGATGGTGAATGTTTGATGCTCGGTATCTCCCCACCAAGCTACCTCCTCGTTTCCCGATGAAACTACCAGACCGACCCGTTCGTACATATCCGGGCTCTCACCTACCTGTTGCAGCAAAAGCCCATGGTGGTAGGCCCTCGTACACACAAGCAAGCAAGAAAGCGCCCGGGCCTGGCGTGACCTGGCAATTGCAACTTCGTCTTCGAGATCGAGGTAGATGGCTCCCACATTGAGCGTCCCGTCGTATAACCTAGGAGTACCACTGTCGTCGACTCGAATGGAGTCGGCCGGGAGAG